GTAGCTGGTTCTGTGATTTACCAATATAAATCTTCAATTTAAGAGAGCCCACCTGGCCGGGCGTGGTGGCTCATGGCCGGGTGCGGTGGCTCAAACCTGTAATCCCAGCACTTTGGGAGGCCGAGACGGGCAGATCACAAGGTCAGGAGATCGAGACCATCCTGGCTAACATGGTGAAACCCCGTCTCTACTAAAAAATACAAAAAAAACTAGCCGGGCGTGGTGGCGGGCACCTGTAGTCCCAGCTACTCGGGAGGCTGAGGCAGGAGAATGGCGTAAACCCGGGAGGCGGAGCTTGCAGTGAGCCGAGATCCAACCACTGCACTCCAGCCTGGGTGACAGAGCTAGACTCCGTCTCAAAGAAAAAAAAAAAAAGAGAGAGCCCACCGAAAATGTTTTAAATGAGTCTAGAAATAGATAATGAAGATTTCACAGACTGTCTGGCTGAATTTCATACACCACATCACTCTGATGGAAAGAGCATCTTCCTACTGGGTAATACACATCAACGAGAATATAGAAACCAGTCTCCTGTGGGCCTTTAACAGGTTATACCTTCCACTACTCACTGCTCTGATCACTAAAAGGTTACTTTCTACCACCAATACTTGTAAGGCTATCACTCTTTCATCTCTCCTAACCCTAACATTTCTGAGGAGTCTCTATGGAAACCACTATCATAAAAGCAGGCTAATCTATGGGAAGTCCAACCAGAGGACCTATGGTAAATATTAAACCCCAGAAGGACTGTGTCACTGCAGGAGAATTACAAGCATAATGGAAACTTGGAAGTAATGCTGTCTGGACGTCCATTTTCCATCTCTTTTCATCCACCCGTAGGATCTACAATGCCCCAGTGATTTTCACAGACTTTACTCCCTTAAGCAGCAGTCCTTTCTTTCAGCAAAAATTTGTGGAAGTTCAATACATAAAACATAAAAGGCAGAGCTGCTGGTTGATGGGACAATAAGGAGGTCCTCCTTATTGTCAATAAGGACAATTATTGACAATAAGGAGGCTTTGTCCTCCTCCCTCACCCCTTACCTACCCACATGACACTATGGAATCCCAAGGGAAATAAGGAACCATGTCTGAAAAGTAACGGTTTGGTGAGGATGATAGTGATTTAATTAATATAGTCTTTAAGAGAACAATAAGTAATAATAAGTCATAGTCCTAGCTTCATAGGAGCCTTTTCTGAGTAGAGTGCTTCTGTTACATGTTTACCCATTTCAGTTGTAATCAACTTCTCAGTTTGGTAACTGTAATGCCTAGGAGCACAGAACTCTTTGGTTTCAGGAAAAGTCACATTAATACTACATTATGCATCTCTCTCTAACCTCATTCATGACACCTGGGGTTTCCTCAGGTAAGTGTAGCTGCTGACCCAGGGTTTGGCCCATGTGAAATATTTAGGAGTAGAAAAAAGGTTTAGTGAAGTAGTAAAGTCAACTAGGAGAGCCAAATCACCTGCAAATCAGGATTTGAGAAGTTTCATCTAAGTATGAAAACACTGAAGTTACTTGTCACAGATGAGCCACCTCAGAGAAAGAAAAATAGATATTCAAAGTTTCCCAGTCAAAAGAGAATTTTTCCATGCTACAGTCATGCACAGCATTTGTACTGGGAAACTTCAAGTCAGGTTCATTTCATGATGTGACAGGGGAAGTGATCGAAACTAGATTTTCTCATCATATCTGAAAGTATCATTAGGATACCATTATGAAAACTAGTGGCAATTATGTTCTTGTTTTTTAGAGAGGTTTTAAGCTAAATTGAATGAGGATTAGGTTTACTAATAGAATGGATTCACTGATGCTATTACCCAAAGGGAATACTTATAGCCACTAAAAGTATGTTGGAAAAGAACATTTAAGCACATAGGAAAAATGTTGCAATTATATTAAGTAAAAATGGATATAGAACACTAAGATTTTAAGTTTGCATTTTTAAAAAGACATACATATTCATAGGAATAAAAGCTGGAAGCATCTTTACCAAAATATTATCAATGGCTGTATCTGAGTGCTAATCTTTATTTTGTTGTTTAAACTTTTCAATATTTAACAAATTTTCTTTTTTTTCCTTTTTGTTCATACTTAAACTAATGTTTTTTATATTTTTCTTCTTTTCTACTTTTATCTTAGGTTCAGGAGATACATGTGCAGGTTTGTTACATGGGTAGGTTGTGTGTTACTGAGGTTTGGTGTACGAAGGATCCCATCACCAAGGTGGTAAGCACAGTGCCCAACAGTTAGTCTTCCAATCCATGCCTCCCCAACCCTCTCTCTCAAGCATTCCCTACTATCGTTCCGGTCTTTATGTATTCAATGTTTAGCTCCCACATATAAGTAAGAACATGTGCTTTTTGGTTTTCTGTTCCTGCATTAGTTCACTTAGAATAATGGTCTCCAGGTGCTTCCATGTTACTGCAAAGGACATGATTTCATTCTTTTTTATGGCTGTGAATATTCATCAAATTTTCTATGTAGAATCAGGAAAAGATACTTAAAAGCAGAAAGAAATTTTATTTACTGAAAAGAAATGGTGTACCTAAAATTCTGAGATTCATATATAAATGCCAGAGCTGTCCTTAACTGTGTGATTGTGTGGCAAAATTCCAGTCCCAACTTGCTTTGGAAGAAACAGCTGCTCATGCAACTGCTAAGGTGAGTCGACCCTAATTGCTGCTAACAGCGTGGTAAGCACTGGGTGAGAAATAGCATGCAGCCCAAGCAGACACATCCAGTTCTCAAGAGTGGCTCAGTCCATCATTCACCAGAATTGCCACTGTCCTGACAAAACCTCGTTGCTTCTGTGAGGATGAGGCTTATTTAGCTGTTTAGGACTGCCTTTGTATGAATGCTAAACATAAGAAAATTCTTAGACATGTTTATGATCTAAATGTCACCACTGTGTATAATCAGCAAGGTAATGTAATTGTTAGAAACACTGCCGGTGAAAAACAGATCAAGGTTCAATTCTGGCCCTGCTATTTTCTAATCACATGAGCTTGGGCAAGTTTCATAATCTTATAAACCTCAGTGTATTCATCTTTCAGTGAGGTTGACCACATCTATCTCTCAGGATTTTTAGGATCATTTAAAATATTTTTCAGTATGTACATCCACTAATTTAATGAGAACATTCTAGAAGCCTAAATATATAGAAATTTCAAATTATTTAGCCCCTTATTGAAAAAAATCAGATACCATATATTCTTAAACTTAAAACTTATATCCTTCTATATAAGGCAACTTCCCAGCTGTACACATTGAAAGTGGTCACTGAGCCAAAACTAAGTACTTGAATAGATGTTCTATATTTTAAAGAATTCAGGTTCTAAAACAACTTTGTGAACTACGGGAGAATATTTCTGGCAAAATCTTATCATTCTTCTGTGTCATCTTCAATAACTCTGTACTAGTAGGACTATATTAGAAATATAAAAGTCCACTCCTGTCTCCCATGCTAGACTCATAATCAACTCAGAAAACATAGAATCAGTAAAGACATCAGAGCCTATGTGAGAAAGAGGGCATATTTTAATAACGTCTCATACCAATAATATATTCTCAGTGATATTATAAAAATAATAAAAGTTGGAAATGTTTAATTTTAATGATTCAAATTAAGTGTTATAATTATAAACCAAATAAAATGCCATGAAATGGGGGGAAAGTAGCAAAAGCTGAAAAAAGAAGATTAAAATTCCACAAGAATAAGAATTTTTTTTTTTTTAGATGGAGTTTCACTCTTGTTGCCCAGGCTGGAGTACAGTGGCAAGATCTCAGCTCACTGCAACCTCCGCCTCCCACGTTCAAGTGATTCTCCTGCCTCAGCCTCCTGAGTAGCTGGGACTACAGGCACCCACCACCATGCCCAGCTAATTTTTGTATTTTTAGTAGAGAGGTGGTTTCACCATGTTGGCCAGACTGGTCTCAAACTCTTGACCTCAGGTGATCAGCCCGCCTTGGCCTCCCAAAGTGCTGGGATTACAGGTGTGAGCCACCATGCCCAGCTGAATAAGAATATTTTTAAAACTCTGCTTCAAAAAGGGAATACAGTAGGGCATACTATTTCTATGGTACACAATTTAAGACAGACTCAGTGCTGAATTCCATTCTTGCCACTTACTCTCTGGGAATAGCAGGCCAGTTGTTTAACCACTTGGAACCTTATTTCCTCATCTGCAAAATGGGACTTGCTTAATGCTTTCATGATGGTGTGACAGACACGTAAAATACTCAGCACAAGGTACATTTGTAGTGTTCTTCACTGGTAGAAAAAAAAAAAAAAAAAGACTACAAAAATCCTAAAGGATCAAGGTGACATATGACAATAACATAGGCTGTGCCTTACCAAGAGAGCCAGTGCATCCAAAGCCAGACATCCACCAAAGGTCACAGGATATGAAATAATGGATATGAAATAATGGGTGTCCCTGATCTTGATGATACATTGTTGAGGAGATAAAAATTAAACGCTAAAAACCAAGAAAATGGGGTAAATATTTAACGGGGGTCAAGAAACAAGCAGGTCAAAGTAAATGACTAAGAGGGAACCAATCAATCTGATACAACCATATCCAATCAGAAATGACCTTGATGATGCTCAGGGAAAAGTAAAGCCAGTAACAGCTGGTTTATGAGACACATTTGCTGAGCTTTGACATTGACTGCTCTACTCCCAGGGAAGAAGGCAATGAGGCCTTTAATTAGAAATTTGCTATCACTTTCATGTGACAAGAGTCTAATGTCCTTGAGGCATTGGGAAGGACACTCAAGGGTCTGAATCAGAGTTCATCAAAGAGTGACGAGTGATATCCCACCACACAGACAAGGTTACAGAAAGACACCAGGTATTTCAGGCCTGAGAGCTCTGTCCTATGAACAGTGGGATTCAAGAGAAGAGCTCATTCCCAGAGAATGACTCCATTTGACTGAGTAGAGCAGAGTGGGCCACATCAGCTTCAATCAGAGTTCTCTGTTAATACATACCTCCAACGGCTGCTGTTTTGCATTTATCGACAGGTTCCTCTAAAAGTAGTCTCTGGTATACTTGCGGAGGCAGGGTCTCGTCTTCTATTTCATGTTTCCAAACCATACACTTTTGGGCATCCCAAAGAACTCAGTGGTGTGCCTGGAACAAAGAAGCAGTTTCAGCTTAACAACTTCAAAATAGAATCACAAAATTCTAAAGCTGAGAGAGACTGTGTAAATTCAGTGCAGTTCACTATAAATAAAAGGATTAAAGTACTTATAAACTTGGAAACAAAGAATTCATAATGAACCTTTCCTACCTCCTCCCATTTTTTCTTTCTTTTCTAGCTTTTTAATTGTTGTATTTTTTACAGTAGTATAATATATACATATAACATAAAGCTTACTCCATCTTTTCTAATTAAAAGTTTTTAGCCCTATGACTATAAAAGGTGTTTCTCCTTTTATATAATTATCTACTATTTTTAGTTGCCAACGAATAATTGATTATGATAAATTAAGTATAAGTTTGAAGTTTCAGCTTCAAACTGAAAACAAGGGTAACTACTGAGTTATCGTCTTTACAAGTTGACTTATAAAAATGTTATGATCTCTCTGGGGCCAAAACATTACCCTGATAAGTAACAGCTTTTATAGTTATATATGTGTACATGGTACACATTTCCTGGCAGCATAATCAGGAAGCTAGAGACAATGTCTTGTATTAAAGAACAAAGAGGGCTATTCATTTAGTGCCTCATTCATAGTAATTTGTACTTATGTGTGGAAGAATACGGAATCTAATGGTAGCTAGAAAGGCAGTATATTTTGTTCGATCGTATTTAATTTAATCAGTAACATTTTCTTTTTTTTTTTTTTTCCCGTGATAATCTGTAAGAATTAGGCTCTCAACCCTTTTCAGGATCATATACGCCCTACGGTATTGAGTATCTATGAAAACTAAGCCTGTTCCATCCCTCTCCACTTAAATTTCAGGACAATCGTTAACTCCTTAAAGCTATCCCTGGACCCCAGGATAAAAATCACAGGTGCTCTCCAGCTGTCAAGCTGGGGAGCTGATACCTTGAGCCAACTAACAGACTTAATTCTATAAACCACTCTTATAGACAAAAACAATCCACTACTCTCAACAGTCCTAAGGACTTAGTTAGGACCAGGCATCCCTCCGCACCCTCCCATCTTTTAATCATTATTTATTCTATCGGTAAGAAATGGTGCTACATCTGTAAATAATCAAACATAGGCACAAAGAAAGCAGTTATCAACTAAAACAGCAATAAAATAAAACAAACAAACAAAAACTAGGACTCTTTTGCCATTACATTAGCTTAAAAGTATTCAATTAAAGTTTCAGGCCAGGCGTGGTGGCTCATGCCTATAATTCCAGCACTAACCTAGGCAACAAAACGCTTAGAAAATGATGGAGCTTCTGGTTCCTCAGAAGGGGAGCGGGGAAGACTGAAAAGATGGGGGTGGTGAAGTGTGTATAAAAAAAAAAAGACCCTTACCCCGCACCATAAATTAAAGTTAACTCAAGATGGAGTAAACACCTAAAATTAAGACCTGAAACTATAAAATTCCTAGCCAAAAAAAAACATAGAGGAAACGCTTCATGACATTGGAGTTGGCACTGATTTTTTGGATATGACATCAAAAACACAGGTTAAAAAAAAACACACAAAATAAGCAAATGGGACTACATCAAACTTAAAAACTAAAGGAAGCAATCAACCAAGTGAAAGGACAGCCCACAGAAAATATTTGTAAACCATATATCTGACAAAGTGTTAATATCCAGAATATATAAAGAATGTCCACAATTCAACAACAAAAAGCTAAATAATAATTAAAAATTGGCAAAGGATTTGAATGGACATTTCTCCAAAGAAGATATACAAATGGTCAATAAGCACATGAAAAGATGCTTAACATTCCTAATCATCAGGAAAATGCAAATCAAAACCACAATGAGATATCATCTCACACCCATTAGAATGACCACTATCAAAAACAAAAATAGAAAGTAGCAAGTGTTGACAAAGATGTGGAGAAGTTGACTGGAATATCTGTACAGTGTTGGCAGAAATGTCAAATGGCACATTTCTGCCAGTTATGGCAGTTCCTCAAAACATATGATCCAGTAAGCTCACTTTTGGTATGCATCTGAAAGAATTGAAAGCAGGGTCTTGAAGAGATATCTGCACACCCCTGTTTACTTAAGCACTACTCACAATAGTTAAGAGGTGGATGCAACCTACACATCCAATGGCAGATGAATAAAGAAAACATGGTATATACATACAATGAAATATTATTCAACCTTAAAAAGAAGGAAATCCTCTTATGTGCTCCAACATGGATGAACCCTGAGGACATTATGCAAAGTAAAACAAGCCAGTCACAAAAAGACAAATATTACATGATTCTACTTATAGGAGATATCTAAAGTAGCCAAATTTACAGAAACAGAAGGTGGTTCGTAGTTGCCAGAGGCTGGGCAGTCGGGCTAAAGGGGTGTTGCTGTTCAGTGGGTATAGAGTTTCAGTTTTGCAACATAAAAAGTTCTAGAGAGCTTTTGTACAACAATGTGTACATAGTTAACACTACTGTACACTTAAAAATGAATATATTTTATGTTATGTGTTTTTTACCATAATAAAAACAAATGAGAGATTATCTTGGATTATCTGAATGGGCCTAATATAATCACCAGGGTCCTTAAAAGTGGAAGTGGTAGACAGAAATGGAAGTCAGAGTAATGCAATATGAGGCCATTTGACCATTGTTGACTTTAAAGATGGAAAGGGGCCAGGAGCCAAGAAATGCAGCCAGCAGCTAGAAGCTAAAAAATAAAAACAAGGAAAGGGACTCTTCCCTAGAGCCTGTGGAAAAGAGTGCAGCCTGTGGACACCTGTTTTGTTTTGCTACAGGGTCTCACTCTGTCACCCAGGCTGGAGTGCAGTGGCATGATCCCTGCTCACTGCAACCTCTGCCTCCAGGGTTCAAGCGATTCTCATGCCTCAGCCTCCTGAGTAGCTGAGACTACAGGCATTCACCACTACACCCGACTAATTTTTGTATTTTTTGGTAGAGACAGGGTTTCACCATGTTGGCCAGGCTGGTCTTGAACTCCTGACCTCAAGTGATCCACCAGATTGGCCTCCCAAAGTGCTGGGTTTACAGGCATGAGCCACTGCGCCTGGCCCGTTGATTTTAGCCCAGTGAGACCTGCCATCAGACTTCTGACGCACAGAACTGTAAGATGATAAATTTGTGTGGAGCAAAGAAGGGGAGGAGGGAGGGAAGAAGGGAGAGAGGGAGGGACTTAGAACCCCAGATCCTCTCCCTCACCTGGTAGAGCCAAACAAACCATTCCTACATCCTTACATCCCTGTAAGAAGGGGCAGTTTACCCTCTGGAGAAAATGATACAGCAGGACTTCAAACCTAGACTCCAGATAAGGCTGAAACAAAAGCACTGGATCTAAGCATTCTCAGGCTTGGATGGTGAGACCTCTGGCTCCCTTCCTCCTCACTCCTCTGTGGTGCCCCAAATCCTCACAGGTAGGCTTACACCCTACAAAAAAAGTAAACAAAGAATTCCTTTTTGGATAAACTGAAAGGTCCAAGGAAAAAAGTCTACAGATTTTGATACATGATAATTACCCACTGAAATGGCTAGTAAAGCCTCTGCTCAAAGACCTTAGAGTGAAGCCAATCAGGTAACAAATTTGCAGTCCATTTTTTATTATCTTACTCTTAAGTAAGAACAGACAACTAAATCCCCAGCACTCATTTGGGAAGAGCCTTTAACATTAAAATCAGTGATCAAAATAAGAAGATAAAGGGAACACACAGGAAAATGTGCAAAGAACGGGAAAAAACAGCAAAATAGTCCAATTCATATTCTCAAAAAAATGAGAAAATATTGCATCTATGAAACAAAAACAGGATTCTAATTTTTAAAACAAAATATTCATAGACCCTAAAAAGTTAAATTCAAAATTACAAACCTGCTAGCAGAAATTAAACATTCAACAGGTACTAAGGAAACCTCTCAGAAAGTAGAAGAAAAACACAGAAGGATGGAAAATAGTTAAGAGTAAGACTTAAGAAAATTAGAGGGTCAAACTAGTAGGTGCAAATACCCAACTAACAGACTAAGAGAAAAGAGAGAATGGGGGGGAATTATCAAAGAAATAGTACAAGAAAATTTACAAATTGACAGACATCAGTTTCTAAGCTGAGAGAACCATGAACATCAAAAACAACGAGAAGTGTTCCAATATTGCAGAATTCTGGAGATAAAGAAAAGTAATGAAACATTTTCCAGAGACAAAAAAACAGTTCACAACCAACCAACTGGGAGGCAGAATGGCTTGAGACATCTCAACTTACACCACAGAGCTCAGCCACAAAAAAATATAGTCATAATAAAGTAGACATTAATACTTATCTAAATATAGACTGCATCAAGAAAATAAAGAGAAAGGAAAAGTAAGTATGTAGTAAGGGTAAAGGGTGGTCAATATGTAGGTATGTAGTAAGGGTAAAGGGTGCAGTAACAATGACTGCATAAAGAAAATAAAGAGACAGGAAAAGTAGGTATGTAGTAAGGGTAAATGGTGGTCTATGAGAGAGAACTCCTCAGCAGGAAATCAATGTATAAGTCTAACATTTTAAAAGGAATCAATAAATGGCACTTAGAGCATACGATGTGTTGTTTAGAAATAGGTAGATGAATACTGGAAAATACAACTAAAAGGATTGAAAAGGGCTATCTTTAGGCAAAGAGGCAATAAGAGTACAAAAAGAACAAAGAATGGCTATTAGAGTACTATTTGAATTCTTAAACACTATACATGCAATTACTTCTAAATAAATAAAATAAATGAAAGGAAAGAAGGAAGGAAGGAAAGGAGGGAAAGAGGGAGAAAGACTTAAGAAAACAATTCTACAAATTGTTACACAGTAGAGACCTTCAATGTTCATCTACACAGAAAGAATGGAAACAGCAACTGTCCTGAGATTATGCAAATGATTACTTGTGGCTTGGGATAAAATTTCCAAATATAGTGCCATACATAGATTCCAAAAGTGCTGTACTGCAAACACCTAAAATGATAACAGGCTGTAGAAAATAATATTGAATGCTTCAAAAATATGACTCAAATAATGAAGACACTGATGTCAGATATGTATGTAAAGAGTTGGAAGAAAATTATTCTGGGGTAGGAAAAAAGCATTAGTTATAAATACTCCATTTTGCATAAATACATACTTGCACAAAATATGTACATAACTAAATTAATTAAATGGTAATATGTATTTGACTATTTCATCTATATCCCCAAAATATTCCTTATATATTCCAATTGCCCACAAAAATTGTTTGTTTAGATCCTTTCATTGGGAGAACACAGAAAATATAAATTAGCATAAAAGGTAAATAATTTAAAAATCCATTTACCTCAATCATGCTGTTAATTTTCTTCATCAGTCTTCCTTCCAATCTAGAAGAAAGTAATATGTAAATTAAAGTGCATTCTTCATGCAATGAGCTGCTTATAAGAAAAAAAGCCTAAAATCCAAGTTAACTATTATTCACTTCTTGTTATGTATCCGTAGGAAAAAGAAAAAGCATTATTTCACCAATTCCCAACTAATTTCTGGCCGTCATGGTATTCAGAGTAAGCTTCTATTAGACAATGCCAAGCAGAAGTAAGCATGCAAAGCCAATGGCAATAAAAAAAATCGCACACCAAATGCATCTGATGGTATAACAGGAGTTTTAAAACCATGTACCTTTATAAATTATCTCCTCTCCATTTAGGTAAATAACTGCTAACTGACTATATAAAAAAGATAAAGAAGCAAGAAAGTGTATTTTTCAAACCGTAATAATTACAACCCTGGGGTAAATTTTCATTTTTACCAAAATGCAATCAATAGCAAGTTAAGTGGAACAACCACAGACCACATACATAAGGGTATGATCAAACAGCTTATAAATAACTCTAACCCACATCACCCTAAAGGCTTAAAAATGCTTCCGCGTTTTATTTCATGAAAGACGTTTTCAGCTAAAAATGAAATATGACTCTGTGTAAGTAAAATATACAAGTGAATTAGGCTACATGCAGAAAGGGGAAAAAGTAATTTTTTAAAAAATTAGCAAGCCCAGAAATCTTGTGTGGCTTAATAAATTTTCTTAAAGTGAACACCACTCTCCCAAAAAGTCAACACTGCCCTGCCTTCAAATAGCACACATTAGTTTTGCCTGTTGGGCTAGGTATAATTATTTAGGAATCTATCTGGGAGTCTAAGAATCCCTGTATCTGGTCAAAAATAAAATGCTTTAAGGAAAGGGGAGCAAGTAGTCGTTGACTACAAAGTGGTATTATTTCCGAAAGATGTTAACGTGTCTGAGGAAAAAGTTTTGGCTGATTGGTTGATTGTATGAGGTCAACCTGCAAGTTCTCCAGAGACCAAAGGACAGAGAAGCAGTTTATGATAGAAACAGAAGGGGAAGGGCCTTCCTGTTGTCCAGGAGGAACGGACTTCTGGGAATAAGATGGGAGAAGGCAGGAGCAGAGGGGAGAGAAGGGAGTGGGGAGGGAGGGTGGCCTCCTTTCTATAGGTACAGAAATACCTATAAAGATAGTAACCAAGCTCGTCCGTGCTAGAAGCTAGATGAAATTACTAATGCATGATCTCACTTAATCTTCCAATTCCTAGGAAGCCTGTTTTGCAATCTCCAGTTGACAGATACCAATACTGAGTCTCAAATCATCAATGGTGTCTGATGTAAACAGTTTGTGGGTGAAATAATGCTATTCCTCTTTACAGCTTGAATGCAGGGCTTGATTCGCCATCAACAAAAAGAGAGAGATTCACGAAAATGAAGCCTTATAATTAAATACAGAATATGCTGTTTTGTCCCTACCCACAAATCATTTAAAGGAAAAGAATCAACTTATTCAGGACCCAAGAAGTCTTCTGAATTACCAGAAAGTGGAATAGTTTTGTTATTTGTAAAGTAGGCCCATGTTATCTTTTTGTACATCAAAGAAGTTTCAAAAGAAACTGAATTTCATAAGAGATAATTTTCTGACATGTTAACTGGTTTATGGCATTGTGTGCTTTCCCACTGTAATGGGAGAAATCAGAAGAACACAGTGTCCCTCAGAGATAGCCACAGATGCAAAGAGGCAAATTACCACCAGATAATTATTGAAGAACCCATGATAGTGTCACCTTCAAATGGCATGCCACACCTGCATGAATATTTAATTTCTATCACAAGTACTTTCAAAAAGCAGGGGCCAAAATAGGAACATAGTTGAAAAAGGGAACTTTCCATTTTGCCATTTGACAGGAAGAAAATAAAATATCTACCTTTTAAGGCAATATGTAATATATCAAAGACGTGTAGCTAAAAAGATCTTCCTACATCCTCACTGGTGAACACAAAGTAATATTTCAATGACAATAAATGATTGTGAGACATCATGAGATGCCTTTATACTTAATCCCACAAGAACCCTATGTGTGTGTGTTGGGTGAGGGGTGGAGGGTGAAGGGTTTAGAATCCCCTACTTAACCAGATGAAGACATTAGGCTCATAACAGAGGTTATGTTGTAACTTGTCCAAAGTTGCAAATTTGTCCAACGTCAAACTTTGAGGAAATGGGAAAGGGTTCCAAATTACATGTCGGATACCTTTAGGCTATTGTGTTGACCATAACAACTCTGCCTTGGTGATGAATATACTTGAATCTGTTTTTCAATAAAAATTGATCCATTCACTATTTTCCAGTTTCAAATTGCTTTTGCTATCTTCCCGAGTAGAGGATCTTGACACTCCTTCCTCCTGTGAGATGGAGTAAGTATTCTGTCAGCGAGTGGCTTGAGAAGGTCTAGAGGGACTCTTTTTAGGATAGCTGCTAAAGCCTCTGAGAGCACCCTGGTAATCTTCCTTTTATAGGATCTAGCATATGGAATGCATAGTGAAAGCTGCAGGCTTAATTTTTCAGGGGACACATGCCATGAAGATACAATGCAAAAAGTTCTTTCTGGGACTCTATAAGTAAGCAAGTTAACAATGCATACCATGCACAGTAAATCATCTAAGGAAAAAATTACCCAAATTATACTTAAAAGTCTGTGGCTCTAAACTTTCGATTGAGGATTGAGCAAAGTATGGCATGAGTCTTTGCAGACATTAACCTAATGACATGCAGAATCCTGGTGGTGGGGGGAGTGTGGTACAGAATAAGGTACTCTTCCCCTATTCAATAATTCTGGTATAGCAATACTCAAACTCCTATGTGTTTACTACTTGTGACTTCCTCTCAAGGAAAACACACTGGAGTAGGAGAAAGTTCAAAGGGTAAAAAGGAATGGGCATAAGAACCAAGGTTGTGGAAAGAAAAGATTAAAGTTCACAAAATTCTGCAAGGCATTGGCAAGCGCCCACTTTATAAGTTTACATTTGTAGGGCCAACCCTTTCAAAACTTATTACTTCCTCTTAGATTGGGGGTGCAGGGGGGCAGTGGTTTCATTCTGGGGCCAATCTGATTGATCAATAGGCAGCGGCTTCCTAGAAGCCACACCAGAAGACAGTGCCCAAATCAACTGCCATTGTCCGCTATGGACACACGATGTGGAAATTGCAGCAGGCACGCTTCGTTTTTGGCAGCCCTGTCCCACACCCTATTATTAGAGTTCAGTTGTCGATTCTCAGGGGAAAGACGGTATGTAATAAGAAATAAATAATATAGAGAGACCAGGAAGAGCACTCCATTAAAGCTGCATTTTATTAGAATAGTAAAAACACTGAAAACTTTCTCATTCTTACTCATAAACAGCATGTTTTGCAAATTAGAGCCTGGCTTAAGAGAATACAAAATCCAAAGTAGAAAGTTTGTGTTTTCTTCCTTTATACAAAGTTAGTGTTTTCTTCCTTTAATATCTAACTCGCAATAAACAGAGTTTAACTGACCCTTTTCTCCCTTTCTTCTGCTTGGAGGAGAACCTTTACTATCTTCAAACAGGATCCTGCTGCTGTCAAAAAGCCCCAGGCATGGTCTCTAGCTTTGGTGACTGAAGGTTGCAAGTCTCTTGCTGCAGTCACCCTTAAAGCTTCTTCCTGCTGGCAGCTGGTATCACTGGCATCAGCTCTCTTCACAAGGGAGGACTTCCCACTATACTTAACGAAAGACTTAATCTTCCCTTCACTACGCTGCTTTCTTACCTTTTCTAGATTAAAAGAGTAATGCAAAGGGTAAAGTCCTTCCTCAAACTTTGCCTCAATTTACAGCCAAACATGATTGTTTTGGGTAAGTTACAGAGCTCCTCTCTTGAAACTGCTGGCTGAGATGTAAAAGAAAACAAAAAAATAAAAAAGACCATCCATTAACTACCCTGGGAGTTCAGCAACTTCCAAACTGGCCTCTCAAACCGGTTTCCCTTTTCCTGTAAAACGCATTTGAATAGAGTTTAGAATAACAGGTTCACGTAGGAGGAAAGAACAGACTTACGGATTGCAATCTACTGAAAATGTAGGAGCTGAATGAGGGATTTAATGAGGGATAAAAATTCCAAAGAAATATACTACACGCCCTTAAGGAAGTAGTTACTAAAAAAGATGATAAAGAGTGAAAGCAACTATGCTCCAGGCAATGGTGAGATAAGTTCATGGGAACAAACCATAACTGGTAAAAGTGTGGAAACTAAACCAGTTTTAAGCACGACCTCAAAGCAAACAACACCTCCGTTCACCTTCCCAGAAAGAGTGACCAAGTGCCTTCGCTTAATGCTGCAGAAAAGAAGAGGTATTTTATCCCTTCATTCAGCAAATATTTATTGAGCAAGAAGGTGGGATTATATAGAGATGAAAGAGCAGCTTCCCTGAAGGAGCTTAGTTTAGCAAGGAGAAAAAAAACACGTAAATCAGTATTTACATTTCTATGTGGTACCAGGGAGTCATAACACTGAGCTAAAGCACAACATCAACCAACACAACCACTTCCCTGGTAGGGGCCAGACACAATTCTGATATTTTTAGGTAACTCATTTGAATCTTTGAAACAAGCCTATGAGACTGGCAAACACTTTTCCTGGTTTACTGGTGCAATTAGCGTGTATGAGATATAAAAAAGGATCTTTCAAACACAAAGTTTACTCAAATTAAATCTTCAAATTATGCCTCCCTCCCCAAATACAAATCTCAATCCCTATTTTAGCTTTTGCAGGTTGCCCAGCAGTATCTGAGGTTCCCAGAACTCTCACTGAGAAATTCACAAATTGAAGAAATTATTTCCTACATCACAGGACTTGTTATCAAGGGCCACGTCAGTAATGCCCTGCCTACAGTAGAGCATTACTAAAACAAACAAAATGAGAGCAGTTTTGTTTGTTTTTAAATCCTTACCCACAGATGTACCAAAATAATCTTCTACGTTATTTAATCCTAGCTTCGTCAAGGGCAAGAGTCACACTATGTCTGTG